TGTGTGTGTGTGTGTGTCTGTGCACGCATCAAAAGCAAAAACCAAACCCATTGCCATCAAGTGCTTTTCAACTCGTGGTGACACTGTGGGACTCAGTAGACCTGACCCATAGAGTTTCCAAGGCTTTATGGAAGCCAAATGCCTGCCGCTTCTTTTTTCCTTCCAACCCCTGACCTTTCAGTTAGAACCCCAGCATTTATATATTGTACCACTAGGGTGCCCTCATTAAAAAAAAAAAATCCCTGTCATCCAGTCAATTCCAACTTCTAGGGACCATATAGCACTGAATCCTCTAACAACTCCTTCTGGTTTCCAACACTGTAAATCTTTCTAAGACCCCACACCCTCATCCTTTTCCTGTAGAGCGGCCAGTGGGTTTATCCCACTGACTGCTGTTAGTAGAAGCCAGATGCTTACACCACTGCACCACCTGGACCCCCTAAATTAAAAGTCCAGTCAGCTCTGAGTCAGAGTGATGAGTGACTGCCAGACAACTCAAACCAAACTCATGCCCGGGTGGGTTTCTGAGACTAAAACTCTTTCTGGGAGCGGAGAGCCTCGTCCTTCTCCCAGAAGACCTGCAAGTGGATTACCAGTACCAACCTTGTGGGTGGCGAGCAGCCCAATGAGCTACTCCACCAGGGATGTCAGGCCAAACCAAGCCAAGCCAAACGCTGCCATCGAGTCAATGTGGACTCACAGCGACCCTACAGGACAGGGTAGATCTGCAGCTGTGGGTTTCGGAGGCTTTCACTCTTTAGGGCAAGAAGGAAGTCTTTCGGCCAGGGAACTGTTGCTTTTCAACTACTGACCTTGAGGCTCCCAGGGCTCGTTCCTTTTAAAAATAGCTGGGGTGACATAAAGGACGTTAATAATCGAATCGGGGGGCGGGGGAGCTTCGAGTCAAATCATAAAAGCGTAGCTCGTTACTAAAACCCGAGTTCGCTGCCTTCCTGGGGCCGCACCGTGCCCCGCCCCTGCACGCACGGATCGCGAGCGCGCGGAACGCCTCCCCGTCCGCACGTCCCGCCGCCGGAAGCGGAAGTGCTCACGCCGAGCGACGGCGGTGCCGGAGGAGAGGCGCCCGACCCGCGGTGTGGCAGCTCTGTCTGCGTCCAGGCTGCTGTAGTCCCAGGTACAGTCCTCGCGACGGCGGCCCGAGGGCCGGGCGCCGGTCC